TTTTGCTTATGTGGTGCTGAGGAATCGAACCCAGGGCCTCAGGCATGCAGGGCAAGCGCTCTACCACTGAGCCACCTTCCCAGCCCCTAGGCCAGCTTGGATTATATATCAAGAACTTTTGTTTCTAAATTTAATTGAAATTAAATTTTATTTAAAATGCAAAGCAATGAAAGCCAAATGTGGCAGTGCTCACCTATCATCCCAGCATTCAGAAAGCCTAAGGCCAAAGGATCTTGAGTCTGAGGCTAGTCTGGGCTACTGGAGTGAGATCCTCTCTGACCTTAAACCACAATCCTCCCATTCTCAACCTCCCACTAGCTAGGAAAGTAACTGAATGGATCATTCTGTTCATTGATTCTTACATCTACATTCTTCAGCCTTTCTTCTCTTTATAAAACTGATTTCCTCACTGGAATACTTGTGTTATAGAATCACAAAGTCAATTTGCAGATTATTTTTAAATTTTGCTGGTACTGGGGCAAAACTAATGTAATAATGAATGTGAGTTGGCATTGTATATCAAAGAGTGCTTCATGATGTGCAAGACCAAGGCAGACTTCTTAATGCCTTAAGCCGTGAGGGAACTTGTCTCCAAAAGTCAGAATTTTTTTCTTTTTTTGCCAGTCCTGGAGATTGAACTCAGGGCCTGGGCACTCCCTGAGCTGCTTTTGCTCAGCACTCTACCACTTGAGCCACAGTGCCACTTCTGGCTTTTTCTGCTTATATGGTACTGGGGCATTGAACCCAGGGCTTCATGCATGCTAGGCAAACACTCTACCACTAAGCCACAGTTCCAGCCCAAGTCAGAATTATCAGTAATGAGCACCTCCACTCACCCCACAGTGCTGGCTCCTACAGCTGAAGATACTGCATAGGACGCTGGAGCCCCTAGAGAGGTCCCCCTAAAAAACAGCTAGGCTGCAGAAAGAACCTAGCTAATGATGAGCCCTGACTGCTCCCTGATTTCCAGCAGGTTAAGGGCTCCACTCACAGAAGCTGGAGTCACAGAGGTGAACGTTTGGCTAGGTATGACCTGACCCTGGAGCAATAGCTACAAATTGACTCATGGGTTTCCTTTCTCCTCTTTGCCCTGAGTTCTCAAAACATCTGGGAAGCCAGGTGCTGGTGGCTCATGCCTATACTCCTAGCTACACAGGAAGCTGATTATCTGAGGATCACAATTTAAAGCCAGGCCTAGCAGAAAAGTCCATGAGATTCTTATCTCCAATTAACCACCAAGAAGCTGGAAGTGGAGTTGTGGCTCAAGTGGTACCATACTCTTAAGGTTTCAGCAAGAAAGGTCAAGGACAGCACCCAGGCCCTGAGTACAAGCCCCAGGATTGATACATACATAAACAACAAGGAACTTGAAGTACAAATGGTAGAGTGCCAAGCCCTAGTGAGAACAGGAGGTCCTGAGTTCAAATCTTTATACCAGCACACATAAAAACAAATACGACTTTATTTCTTCAGTTGTTAGTCACATTTAAAATGTTTAGTAGGCTGGGTGCTAGTGGCTCATGCCTGTAATCCTAGCTACTCAGGAGGCTGAGATCTGAGGATCAGGGTTTGAAGCTAGCCTGGGCAGAAAAGTGACTGAGACTCTAATCTCTAGGAAACTACTCAAAAAAACCAAAAGTGGCACTGTGGCTCAAGTGGTAGAATATTAGCCTGGAGCACAAAGTGGCTCAGGGACAGCACTCAGGCCCTGAGTTCAAGACCCAGATCTGCACACACACACAAAAAGAAATATTTAGGGGCTGGGAAGGTGGCTCAGTGGTAGAGCGCTTGCCTTGCATGCCTGAGGCCCTGGGTTTGATTCCTCAGCACCACATAAACAAAAAGAAAAAAGCCAGAAGTGACACTGTGGCTCAAGTGGTAGAGCGCTAGCCTTGAGCTGAAGAGCTGAGGGACAGAGCCCAGGCCCAGAGTTCAGGCCCACGAACGGAACCAAAAAAAAGAAATGTTTAGTAGCTATGTGTGGCTGGTGGCTACTCAACTGGAAAGCATAAATATAAACCATTCTCAAGATCACAGAAAGATCTAGTGGACAGTTCTGGTCTAAAATCTGTTTTGACTACTACTTCTGTCCCTTTCTTCTACCCAAAAAAGTAGGGAGGGGGCTAGGAATGTGGCTTAGTAGTGCTTATCTAGCATTCATAAAGCCCTGGGTTCGATTCTTCAGTACCACGTACACAGAGAAACCCAGAAGTGGCGCTGTGGCTCAAGCGGTAGAGTGCTAGCCTTGAGCAAAAGAAGTTCAAGGACAGAGCCCATGCCCTGAGTTTAAGCCCCAGGACTGGCACAAAAAAAATGTAGGGAGGACTGGCAATGTAGCTCAGTGGTAGAGTTCTCGCCTACCATGCATGAAGCCCTGGATTCAAGTCCTCAATACCACATAAACAGAAAAACCCAGAAGTAGCACTGTGGCTCAAGCAGTAGCGTGCTATCCTTGAGCAAAAGAAGTTTAGGGACAGTGCCCAGAGTCTGAGCTCTGAGTTCAAGCCCCATGACCAACAACAACAACAAAAATGTAGAGACAGCCAGGCTCAGGGGCCCACTCCTGTAATTCTAGCTGTAGAAATACCTAGAGGTAGCAAGATTCAGTCCAAGCAAAAGCATAGACAAAACAAGACCAGAGACATGGCTTAGGGAGGTAAGGCTCTGAGTTCAAAACTCAGAACTTCCTTAAAAAATACAATTTTAAAAAATATTTTAGAGGTTGGGAAGTTGGCTTAGTGGTAGAGTGCTTGCCTTGCATGCTTGAGGCTCTGGGCTGTGGCTCTAGTGGTAGAGCACTAGCCTTGAGTTGAAGAGCTGAGGGACAGTGCCCAGGCCCAGACTTTAGGACCCACGACTGACAAAGAAAAAAACATATTTTGGGGGGAGGGGCCTGGGAATGTGGTTCAGTTGTAGAGTGCTTGCCTAGCATGTATGAAGCCCTGGGTTCAATTCCTCAGTACCACATAAACAGAAAAGGGCTGGGCAATGGTGGCTCATGCCTGTAATCCTAGCTACTCAGGAGGCTGAGATCTGAGGATCAAAGTTCAAAGCCAGCCCGGGCAGGAAAGTCTGTGAGACTCTTTTTTTGGGGGGAGGGGGTCCGGTTGTGGGGCTTGAACTCTGGGCCACTTCTGACTTTTTTCTTTTTGCTTATGTGGTGCTGAGGAATCAAACCCAGGGCCTCAGGCATGCAAGGCAAGCGCTCTACCACTGAGCCACCTTCCCAGCCCCTCTGTGAGACTCTTATCTCCAATAAACCACCAGAAAATTGGAAGTGGTACTGTGGCTCAAATGGTAGAGTACTAGCCTTGAGCAGAAGAGCTTAGGGACAGCGCCCAGGCCCATAGTTCAAGCCCCACAACCAACCAGAAAAAAAAATGGGGGCTGGGAAGGTGGCTCAGTGGTAGAGTGCTTGCCTTGCATGCCTGAGGCCCTGGGTTGAATTCCTCAGTACCACATAAACAGAAAAAGCAGGAAGTGGTATTGTAGCTCAGTGGTAGAGTGCTAGCCTTGAGCTGAAGAGCTGAGGGACAGAGCCCAGGCTCAGAATTCAGGCCCCACGACTGACAAAAAATAAATAAATAAAATTATATGTGTGTGTGTGCATATATATATATGAATGCCAGGGTCCCAGTGGCCTGTAATCCTAGCTACTCAGGAGGTTGAGATCTGAGGGTCATTGTTCAAAGCCAGCTCTGGCAGGAAAGTCCTTGAGATTCTTATCTCCAATTAACCACCAGAAAGCAAACAGGAAGTGGTGCAGTGGCTCAAGTGTTTGCCTTGAGCTGAAGAGGTCAGGACAGCACCCTGTCCCAGAGTTCAAGTACCAGAACCACCACCCCCAACAACAAAAAATTTAGAACTGAGAGAAAACGAAGAAGAGAGAAAGGGAATGGTGAGCTGGTGGCTCACGCCTGTAATCCTAGCTACTCAGGAGGCTGAGATCTGAGGATCAAGGTTCAAAGCCAGTCTGGGCAGAAAAGTCCCTGTGAGAATCTTTATCTCCAATAAACTACTCAGAAAAAAGCCAGAAGTGGTGCTGTCACTGAAGTGATAGAGCATTCGCCTTAAGCCAATCACCTAACCCCTCAAAAAATGAATAGAGGAGACGAGGGAAATCAACAGGGAGCATAACCCAGGAGAAAAACAGATTTAATCAGCTACAAATGAGCTTTCTTCAGCCTGTCACATACTACTGCTCACTTCTAGGTCTGCCTGTATAGGTCTGCTAATGACTGCCAGACACTAAGATCATCTGTATAGCATCTGACTAGCGTAGGGAGAGGAGCCATAGAATAGCCTACAAGCAGGCGACTGCCCTGCCCCCACAATTCTCTGCATGTACCTGTTTCCCACAACTCCCTTCCTAGGTACCCACTCCTCATGGCTGGCCCACCCTGTTCACTTCCTCCCATGTTCCTCCTGCTAACCACAAGCTCTTCCTACAGGTCCCATCTTCCTTGCCTTATGAAGTAGGGAGAGGGTCAGACATAACTTCAAGGGATCTTGAGATCCTTCACCAGTAAAATGCCAATCTAGCCCACACTCTACTCCCAAGTTCACCTTCTTTGCTCTCCAAAGGTAAGTGTCAGCCTTCTTCCCCACTCTCACTAACAGTTGCCACTAGTCAAATTTCCTATTGCCTTTATGATGTGCCAGGCCCACTTTGTTACTGATATAATAAACAATATATACCTAACAGTATGTACTCTATATTAGGTATATAGCTAATATACACCATATTTTAGTATCTACAACACATTACAGTTTCTATAACACATACATATATATATATATATATATACATATATATATGTATATTGCCCCAACATATATAGCTATAATAACCCTATGAGCATTTTACAGAGAGGAAATTAGACCCAGAGATGTGTTTGGGATTACAGAACTGGAAACTGGCAGAGCAAGGTTATAAACTCACTTGGTCTAGCTCCAGAACCTAACTATTTCACCACTCCTACCTTACCTGAAATTTTGGTTCAAAGCCATTTTACAGCCCACTGCCTCTCTTCCTTCAGCCAGGGGCTTCCAACTAGATTTCTTTCTCAAGTCAGTACTGGGGCTTGAAATCAGGGCCTTGTGCTCTTGTTTGGCTTTTTCACTCAAGGTTGGCAGTCTTCTACTTGAGTCACAGCTCCACTTCTGGCTTTTTGGTGGTTCACTGGAGATAAGAGTCTTATGGGCTTTCCTGCCCAGGCTAGCTTCCAATCTCAATCCTCCAATCTCAGCCTCCCCGATAGCTAGGATTACAGGTGTGAGCCACCAGCATCTGGATTCTCAAGTGTTTTGAAGCAATATGGCCAACAAGCCCTATCTGAAACTCTCTCCCACTTTTTTTCCCTCCCTTCATAAATTCAGAAAATACATATTGATCATCTCCTCTGCATAATTTTTGCAACACAAAAGGTTCCTAAAATTTTTTCCACCGGGAATTAAATAGGTTTTAAGAAACCCAATTCATCTTAACATTCAAATGTGGGTCAAGGGGCAAAGGCATACAAAGCCCTGCAAAAGTAAACGATGGGGACCTCATCTCTCCTTTCTCTCTTCCAGGAGGGGGTCTTTACTCACCATGCCTTAGTCAGGCATGGTGGCAGCACATCTGTCAATCCGAAATCATGGAAGACTGAAGCGAGAAAGATCACAAGTTCCAGGGCAGCCTGGGCTACATAGTCATTGTAAGGCTGTTGTAAAAATAAAATAAAGTTTTCCCTTTAGCAGGGCGCTGGTGTCTATGCCTATAAGTCCTAGCTTCTCAGGAGGTTGAGATCTGAGGATCTCAGTTCGAAGCTAGCTAGGGAAGAAAAGTTCCTAAGACTCTCGCACAAGCCTGAATAAGACAAGCAAAAAAAAAAAAAAACCTCAGGGATAGCGTCCAGGCCCTGACTTCAGGCCTCAGAAATGGCACCAAAAAAAGTTCTTCCTGGGGCTAGGAAGGTGGCTCAGTGGTAGAGTGCTTGCCTTGCGTGCATGAGGCCCTGGGTTCGATTCCTCAGCACCGCATAAGCAGAAAAAGCCGGAAGTGGCGCTGTGGCTCAAGTGGTAGAGTGCTGGCCTTGAGCTGAAGAGCTGAGGGACAGCGCCCAGGCCCAGAGTTCAGGCCCCACGACCGAAGGAACAAGTTTTTCCCGTGACGACCCAGCCAGAACCCCACACTCAGAAACAACCCCAAAGACAGCCTATCCCTTCTTAGGGAACCTGCGCCCAGAGGAGCCCAGTACTCACAGAAGTAGTCACCCCCCGAGTCCCAGGCCGTCTCAGCAACAGGAGGGCAGCCGGGCCCAGGCCTCGGCTTCGCCTCCACATCCGAGCCGCCGAGAACGCTACCGCCATCTTGGCTGACAACTTCCCCCGCGCTCCGCCCCTCGCCTAAGTTAGACGGGGAGCTGACCCTTCCGAAGCCTGACTCCAATAGTGGCACTACTCTGTCGAGTAAACGCGCGTCTCCTCTTACAAGGAAGCCAGAATGTATAGATATGTGGTGAAAATAATATATCTATCCCTCGCGATTGCTCTGATCGTTTGTCGTTTCTCATCAAATAGGCAATGTAAAGGACAACTTGAGCAGAGCCGTAGGGGATTAGGACCTAGGGTCCTTGGGTAGGAGGAGCCTTTCTCCAGACACGCCCATCCCCCTGTATTGACCAATAGCCTTGCCAGAATTAGGGGTCGTGGGTGGGCGGAGCCACATTGTTGGTAAACGCTGAGCCACGTGCGGGTACCAGTTCAATTCGGGCCCCACCTTTCTCCCCCGAGACGGGCGCGTGCGCACTATGGAGGCAGGAGGCAGGCTTCGTGCGCACGCGCAAGCGCGCGCGGCGGGGAGGAAGCGGCGAGCTCCGCCGCCCGCACGTGGGCTGTGTTTAGCCATGGAAGGGCCCCCGCATTCCGACCGTGGAACGGAATCGGGTCCCAAGGTCCCCAGCTGCAGCCTGAGGCACTTTGCTTGCGAACAGAATTTGCTCTCCCGGCCTGATGGCTCAGCTTCTTTTCTCCAAGGTAAGGACGCACGTCCATTCTCTCCAGACCTATTTTAACCTGTTGTGGAGAAGAAGTGGGGGGTACTTGCAGCTACTTCATTGTACACAGCCCTCCCCTCCCACCCGCGAAGACTAGAATCTTCACCCCAGTAAATACCTCTCAGGATGAAAGAGGGGCAGACCATCTCCAAAAGCACGAATATTCCAGCTGGGTGCTGATAGCTCATGCCTGTAATCCTAGTTTCTAGGAGGCTGAGATCCAGGCCAGTCTAGGCCAGAAAAGTCCAGGAGACTTCATCTCCAGATTCATCATCAGAAAAGCCAGGCTGGAGGCGTGGCTCAGGTCGCCCAGCACTCAGCCACAAGCAAGCCAGCATGGCTGAGTTTAAACCTTTTTTTTTCCTTCTTTTTGCTTGGCAAACAAACTTCCGTGAGGGAGGGATGTGCTTTGGCTTTTTAGCAAGGTTGGAGAAGGGGACAAAGAGGTTTTTGCCCTTTATCAATAATTTTGTTCTGATTTCACATTTTTGTTCCCATGTTTTGTTCCCTATTTCCCAGGGAAAAGGGGGTTCAGGGGAGAGAGAGTAAATTTCCAACAGCAGGAGGGACTGCAGTGCCAGACAATAGGAGGAACTTTTTTGCCAGTGAATAGCAACTCACTTAATACGGTTTGAATGACTACTCCTATATAGGAGAACTTCCACCAGTTGAGACATTTTCCTTGACTAGCTTTTCTTCTGCTTCCCAACCTTGCATCCATAGGTCTCCAATTGAGGCAAACCTAATCATTTGCATAAATACCCTTGTACACAGTAACCACCACCAGCCCAATTATAATTATTGCCTAGACTGTGGCAGATCTTTTACCCAATTAAACTCTTGAAATTGAAGTTGATGTCTACACTTGGGGTGACAGATAGCTCCCTTCCCCCCATCCCAACATTTGAGTAATTACTCATTTACTTTATTCTTATTTTTATTTTTTTTGTCGGTCATGGGGCTTGAACTGTGGGCTTGAGCACTGTCCCTCAGCTCTTCGGCTTAAGGCTAGTGCTCTACCACTTGAGCCACAGCACCACTTCTGGTTTTCTGGTGGTTTATTAGAGATAAGAGTTTCACAGCTTGACTGGGAATGTGGCTTAGTGGTAGAGTGCTTGCCTAGCATGCATGAAGCCCTAGGTTCATTTCCTCAGTACCACATACACAGAAAAAGCCTGAGTACCTAGGATTACAGGCATGAGCCAAGGGTGCTGTCCCTACACTCTTCAGCTCAAGAGTCACAGCATCACTTCTGGTTTTCTGAGTAGCTAACTGTAGCTAAGAATCTCATGGACTTTCCTGCCCAGGCTGGCTTTGAATCGCAATCCTCAGATCTCAGCCTTCTGATTAGCTAGGATTATAGGCCTGAGCCACCGGCGCCCGGCTGGGACTCCATCTCTTAAGCCCATTCTGTTACTTGCTGACCATTAGGCTCCAGAAGCCAGGGTGGTATGACTAAGTCCTGCTCCACTGTCCCCCCAGGAGATACCTCAGTTCTGGCAGGTGTGTACGGGCCAGCAGAGGTGAAGGTGAACAAGGAGATCTTTAACAAGGCCACCCTCGAAGTGATCCTGAGGCCAAAGATCGGGCTGCCTGGTAACTGGGCCAAGCTGAACCCCTTAAAGGTTCAGTGTGTTGGGACCTTGCTTAGTGCCTCACTGCTTGCTAGGCCCACTCTTCATTGCTACCCTTTTTCTAGCTCTCTGCCTGTTCCTCAGTTTCTCTCCTTCCTTCCTGCGTTCATCTCTCCTCCTTTCAATTCACTTATTTTTCTACCTCTTTCAACTCCATCATCTCCCTCACTCCCCTATGAGATGGGCCCAGGGGTGGGGGTAGACGTGGGCATTAGCACCAGATGTGGGTCTCCCTCAGGGGTCTGTATCTGCTCAGCACAGGCTGGCTATAGCAGGGGTAGGGTAGACGCTTTGTCAAGCTCAGTCTGCCCTCCCAGGCGGTTTTTAAGCCCTTTTCAGAAGACCTTAATCCAGAGGATGGGGTGAAAGGAAGAAGGGGAGCCAGGTAGAAAAGAAGAGCCCACCAACCTCTCTTGATTTCTCCAGGTGTGGCTGAGAAGAGCCGGGAGCGGATGATCAGGAACACATGCGAGGCGGCAGTCCTGGGGGCCCTGCATCCCCGTACCTCCATCACTGTTGTCTTGCAGGTTGTCAGTGATGCTGGCTCTGTATCCTTTCCCCAGCCACCTTCCTCCAGGAAACGTCCCAGAACCTCCCTGATGGCTTCCCTTCTGGTGACTCTGGAAACACTGCTAGTCAGGAACCTCCAGTGACGTAATATGCTAGGCAGCAACTCCTGAAGAATAGCAAACTCAGCTTGAGTGGATTCCTGGTTGCCAGGCCCTGTTCTGAGGACTTCTCACATTTACTAATATAATCCTCAAAAGCTGGGATCCCTAAGGAACATGGTAGCAAAGGAGTCTGGGAAATGTAGTTTGTTGGCTTCTAGCCTGTGGCAGACAGTACTAAGGGATGTGGAGAGGTGCCAGACACCTGGCCCATACTCTGCCTCCCCCTAGGGAGCAGGAATTATTGTGGTTACAATGAGGGGAATCATTCTATAAAAAAAAAGTAGAGAAAGCCACGCACTGGTGGCTCATATCTGTAATCCTAGCTACTCAGAAAGCTGAGATCTGAGGATCACAGTTCAAAGCAAGCCTAGGCAGGAAAGTCCAGGAGACTCTTCTATCTCCAGTTAACTACCAGAAAACTGGAAGGGGCACTTGACTCAAGTACAGTTCTCCTTGAGCTGAAGAGCTCAGGGATAGCACCCAGGCCCAGAGTTCAAGCCCCATGGACACACACACACACACACACACACACACACACACACACACGTGTAGAGGGCTATGCTTAAGTAAGGGGTATTCTATAACCAAACAGCTACAGTGGGTAAATAAGTATATGGCTGTCGGACTTGCTCTCCACTCCCCTAGCTATCTGATTCTAGGCTTAAAGGATTCCTGTTTACAGGTGAGGAAACTGAGGCCCCAAGAGAAGAAGTGCTTGTCCAAGGGCACACAGCCAGAAAGCAGTAAAGACAGGACTTGAACCCAGAGCCTGTGCCAATGATTCTAGATTTATACTTCAGCAGGTTTTTGTGCTCTAGGCACTGGAGACAACTTGAACAGCTGGGTCAAGAGCTCAGCCTGGAAAGATCTGTGTGTTTCCAGTATGTCTGGTTGGGCCAGAACCAGCCATGAGCCTTTCTAGAGGGTGTCTCTGGTACTTGGCTGTGTATTGGGATGGGTGGACCTGTTGTAATTCCATTTATAGGGACAGGAACTTAAGCCCAGAGGAAGTGACCAGGGTCAAGGGCAGAGCTGGAACTCATTGTCCACTCTGCTAGGCTGGAAGAATGAAGCTGGGAACAAAGGTAGAGTCAGGTGACAGATTCTAGGCCTCTGAGCCTCCTGAAAGGTCTTGGCTTCTCCCACAGGCTTTGCCAGTGACCTTAAGAGGTCCCTTCCCCTTTCTGCCCCTGTTTGACTGTAGCTGTTTGGTCCTTGCAATCACTATCATGTGTAGCAGACAAGATCCAGATTCGGAGATAGTCATTTAGTCACCCACCTGTAAGAAGACAGGGCTGGGTACAGAACTGTGGCTAGTCGATTGTGGAATCCCTTATCCATCCTGCCAAACTGCCTTTCTGCCATCGATTAGTGGTGTCTGCCACAGGCATCGGCAGGGGAAGGTAGGAATGCCGTATTCTGCTGATCAGCCCTACAATAGATGCTCTTCTTAACCACTCCCCGCGGTGCTCAGCTCCTGGCCTGTTGCCTGAATGCTGCCTGCATGGCACTGGTGGATGCAGGTGTGCCCATGAAAGCTCTTTTCTGCGGCATCACCTGTGCCTTGGACTCTGATGGGACCATCACGCTGGACCCCACAGACAAGCAAGAAAAGGTAGGTGTGAAGGCCTTGCTTCTCAGTCCCTTGGCTCGCACACCTCATCCCCAGTTGGCAGGCTCTGCTCTGTTCATCAGATTTCCTTTCAGCTTCAGGTGCTGAATACTCACTTGCAAAAGCAGACAAGGGAAGTAGTGGCTTTTATTACCAAACAGAAAGAACAGAGGTTGAGCTCCCTTTGCTTCATTTTCTCTCTAGCTAGCATCTTTCCTGCTCCTGTCATCTCTATGCTTCTATCTTTTTTTTTTTTCTTCTTTTTGTCAGTCCTGGGGCTTGAACTCTGGGCCTGGGCACTGTCCCTCAGCTCTTCAGCTCAAGGGAGCGCTCTACCGCTTGAGCCACAGCACTGCTTCCAGTTTATGTGGTGCTGAGGAATCAAACCCAGGGCTTCAAGCATGCCAGGCAAGCAGTCTACCACTAAGCCACAGTCCCAGCCCTTCCATGCTTCTCTCTTAAGAGACATAAAAGGCCAAAGGGAAGAGAAGAAGAAGGCACTCCTCAAATTCACAGTGTCCTAAGGACTCTTGGGAGTTTTCTGCCCAGTACTTTCATGGTCAGGGAAATAAACACCACTAAAGGTACTTTCAGTGGAAGGGATGTAACGCAAAGATTGAAAGCCTCTCCTAGGCCCAGTAGCTCCTGCTCTGTGCTGTTGGAGGTAATTGGTGCAGTTGGGTTTGAGATGCGTGGAAGATGACATGCCCCGTCTTGTGCCACAGTCCAGAACCTCCCTTGTATTGTATCATGATGTAGTATCTGCCATTGTCAAAGTAAGGAGCAAGATACGTCTGTTGTTCCTGGGGGCCCAAGAGATTGCTAGTAGCTCTGAATGGCAAAGGAGTCTGGGAAATGTAGTTTTCTGGCTTGTAGCCCCTGTGGTACTCAACCCAGAAGAGGGTGGACAAGAGGTAGAAAGGCAGCAAAGCAGTTGACCAAGCACTGTGGCTTCCCTCTGTAGGACATGAAGTCTGAGGTCAGACTAAGGGAAAGTGGAGAGCTGTTGCCTGGAGAAAGGCAGCATGGAGACAAACACATGAGCCATGGGGAGGAGAGGCCATGGGTCATGAGGCCAAGCATCTAGAGTCACTGGCTGAGATTTTAACTCAGAGTCCCGTCCTCTATTCCCCTCTTCTCATTCCTAGGAAGCCCGGGCCGTCCTGACCTTTGCCCTCGACAGTGTAGAGCAGAAGCTGTTGATGTCCACCACCAAGGGGTTCTACTCCAATTCTGAGGTACCAGCATGGGAATCTTCTGGAACCTTCTTCCACCCTGACACAATGCCTTGTCCCAACGCTGCTTGCAGGCTGGGACATTTGACAAATGAGTATTTGCTTGGCTTTGTTTTTCACGTTTTGTTTTGTTTTTTGGTCCTAAGGCTGGAACTCAGGGCCTGGGCTTTGTCCCTGAACTCCTTTGTGCTTAAGGCTGGCACTTACCACTCGAGCCACAGTGCCACTTCTGGACTTTTCTGAGTGGTTTATTAGAGATAAGAGTCTGACTGGGCTGGCTTTGAACTGCGGTCCTTAGATCTCAGGCTCCTGAGTGGCTAGGATTATAGGTGTGGGCTACTGGTGCCTGGCTAGTACTTGCTTTCTTGTATCCCTGTCGATAGATGTATTTGTGTGTGTATGTGTGTGTGTGTGCATGCGCGTGTGTGTGTGGGGGGGGGTTGTTGTTGTTGTTATTGTTTTTGCCAGTCCTGGGGCTTGACCTCAGGGCTGGGGCACTATCCTTGAGGAGCCACAGCATTACTTCTGGCTTTTTCTGTTTATGTGGTACTGAGGAGTCGAACCCAGGATTTCATGCAAGCTAGACAAGCACTCTACTGCTAAGCCACATTTCCAGCCCTATGTCTTTTTTTTTTTTTTTAAGGGAATTTCTAAACTTTGTAATCATGGAAACCTGTGGAAACTATGGGGTAAAGCCTAGGTTGTAAGGTAGGAAAAGGAAGAGCAGCACAGTTGGAGGCAGGGGCTGATGATTTCCAAGAGCACCATGTCTAGGCTGACCTCCCTGTGAGTCCAAGAATTCGTGGTGATAAAGACTTAGAGTCTTAAAATTCCATGGGGTACAAGGACTCATGCTGCTAAATCCCAGAGGCTGTCCAATTCTGTGAACCCAAAGATTCTGTGGATCAAATGGATCATGGTCATGTCTGAGGTATTGGAATGCTGATTCTGTTACTGACAGAATCTGCTGCAGGAATATATATATTTACACACACACACATATATATACACATATATATGCACACACATATACATATATATACATAGACACACATATACATACATACATATATATATACATAGATGCACATATACATTTATATATATATATATCCCATGAAAGACCTTAGAGAGTACAGGGGGACAAGAAGGTGGGTATGGTGGTACGTGCCTGTAATCCCAGCTACTCAGGTAGAGGCTGGAGGATCGAGAGTTCCAGGCCAGTCCAGGCAAAGGTAGCAAGACTATGTCTTAACATTAGAATTAAGCCTGGTGCCAGTGGTGGCTTATATCTGTAATCCCAGCAATTGGGGAGGATGAGATCTGAGAATCGTGGTTCAGAACCAGCCTGGCTCATGAGACGCTTACCTCAAATTAGCCACTAAAGGAGTGGAAGTGGAGCTGAGGCTCAAAGTGGTAGAGCACCAGCCTTGAGTGAAAAAGCTCAGAGACAACACCCAGACCCTGAGTTCAAACTCCAGTACGGTAGTGTGCTTGCCCAATTGAGTATCTACTAACCCTTCCCCCCCAAAAAAAAAAAAAAAAAACAAAGTAGGAATAAAGGTGAATGCACTTGAGAAACTCCCCTCACTGCTTCCCTTGCTTTAGGTGAGGAGGAAGGGGAAGGGTCCTGTGGACTTGGGGCTCAGGGCCAGGCCCTAGCACTGACTGGCTTCTCCTTTCTAGCTCCAGCAGTGCCTGGCCGCTGCGCAGGCGGCCTCCCAGCATGTTTTCCGCTTCTACCGGGAGTCACTGCAGAGGCGCTACTCCAAGAGCTGAGCTGGGGCATGGCGTCCCCGCCCCTGCCACCCGTGCCTCCCGCCGGAAGCCCACCAGCGCCCAGCCTTGGCTCCCCATCTGGATGTCCATGTGGCATCTATCCTGTAGCCTGCAGGGGCTCCTGTGTCCAGCCTTGGCACCTGACAGTCCTGGGCCTCTGGCCCAGATCCTCCCCCTCTCTCTCTCTTACACAAACAAGGGTAACATTAAAGGGAGCTTGTCCAGTTTGGATGAATGAGTCAGTATCCACTCATTCCCACACATGTCTGCTCAACACCTACTCCTCAGGCCTCCCTGCTGAGTGCTGAAATCATGGTAGCCAAGGACACCCAGGTCCTGTGTTCCCGGAGCAGTGAGTAAGGTGACAGACAAAAAGAAAAAGAGGGCTGGGAAGGTGGCTCAGTGGTAGAGCGCTTGCCTTGCATGCATGAGGCCCTGGGTTCCATTCCTCAGCACCACATAAGCAGAAAAAGCTGGAAGTGGTACTGTGGCTCAAGTGGTAGAGCGCTAGCCTTGAGCTGAAGAGCTGAGGGACAGTACCCAGGCCCAGAGTTCAGGCCCCACAACCGACAAGAAAAAAGAAAAGAAAAATGGCTAGCAGGATATGGTAGCTCATGCCTGTAATCCTAGCTACTCAGGAGGCTGAGAGCTGAGGATCAAGGCTCAAAGCCAGCCTGGGCAGGAAAGTCTATGAAATTCTTATCTCCAGTAAACTACTCAGAAAATAGGAAGTGGTGCTGTGGCTCAAGTGGTAGAGTACTGGCCTTGAGCTGAAGAGCTGAGGGACAGTGCCCAGGCCCAGAGTTCCAGCCCCACGACTGCCAAAAAAAGAAAAAAAAAATGGCTGTGTGCTGGTAGCTCACAGGTTGAGATCTGAGGATCATGGTTCAAAGCCAGCTCCAGCAGGGAAGTCTGTGCTACTTGTCCCCAATGAACTACCACAAAACAAAATAGAGGTGTGGCTCTGGTGATAGAGTACTAACCTTGTACACAAAAAGCTTCGGGACAGTGCTCAGGCCCTGAGTTCAAGCCTTAGGACCAGCACAAAGTAAAAAAGAAAAATAGCAGGGAACAACACTTTGTGAGTCAGCTCGGCGAGAGTAAACAGAATTGGTGAGGAGCTCTGGGGTCGGGTACCAACCAGGCAGTCAGAGACTGGAATGAAATAAGCCAGGGTCAGAGAGAGAGGAAATGGGCGACAAGGTGGAGCATCGAGGGAGGGGGGCGGGGAGAGGGTAGGAGTGGTGCCTTGGGGATCACAGGAGGAAAGGCAGGCACTGAGGTTACCGGCTGGGCTGTGGAGTGCAGGGCGACCCCAGCACACTCAACCTCATCCATAAAGTAGCTGAGGCTCAGTGGTCTTAGGGGGTGGAAATAGCCATATTGAGTGCAGCTTGACCGATTCTTCCCCCCACCCCACCCCCGCAGAGTGAGGGCACAGGAGCCAAGCCCAAGAGCAGCCCTGTCCTGGGGGGGATTCGGTGGGGGGGGGCATGAGGGATTCATGTCAGGCCCCTCTTCCTCTCCTTGCATATCATCTGTTTGGTGGAAGCCCCACAATCACACCCCACCCCCAAAGAGCATCTGCAAACCCTGCATACCTTTAGTTTGATGTTCTGTTCTGTCAGATGCTGCACTTTTCTTTCTTTTTTTTTTTGGTCGGTCGTGGGACTTGAACTCTGGGCCTGGGCGCTGTCCCTCAGCTCTTCAGCCAAGGCTAGCACTCTACCACTTGAGCTACAGCGCCACTTCCGGTTTTCTGGTGGTTTATTGGAGATAGGAGTCTCACGGTCTCTCCTGCCCGGGCTGGCTTTGAACCGAGATCCTCAGAGCTCAGCCTCCTGAGTAGCTAGGATGACAGGCGTGAGCCACCAGCGCCCGGCAGATGCTGCACTTTTCTAGCATCTTCACTGCCCACTCTTCTGCCAAGGGTTGCCCCCATGTCCTCTGCCTGCCTCGGGCCAGCATTTTTATTTATTTTTGCCAGTCTTGGGGCTTGAACTCAGGGCTGGGCACTGTATCTGAGTTTCTTTTGCTCGTGGTTGTCATTCTACTTGAGTCCACAGTGCCACTTCCGGCTTTTTTGTGTATGTGGTGCTGAGGAATTGAACCCAAGGCTTCATGCATGCTAAACAAGCACTCTACCACTGAACTGCATTCCCACAACTTTTTTTTTTTTTGCTGGTCGTGGGGCTTGAACTCTGGGCCTGGGCGCTGTCCCTCAGCTCTTCAGCTCAAGGCGAGTGCTCTACCACTTGAGCTACAGCGCCACTTTCGGTTTTCTGGTGGTTTATTGGAGATAGGAGTCTCACGGTCTCTCCTGCCCGGGCTGGCTTTGAACCATGATCCTCAGATCTCAGCCTCCTGAGTAGCTAAGATTACAGGAGTGAGCCACCAGCACCCGGCTTCCCACAACTTTTGTTTGTGCCGGGACTGAAACTTGAACTCAGGATCTAAACACAATCCCTTAGCTTGCTTGTTCACTCAAGGCTGGTGGTGTTCCACCACCTGAGCCACAGCTCCATTTCTGGCTTTTGCTGGTTCATTGGCGACAAGTCTCCCAGACTTTCCTGCCCAGGCTGGATTCTGTGATCCTCAGATCTCAGCCTCTTCCTGAGTAGCTAGGATGACAGGCATGAGCCACCAGTGCCCAGCTACCATAGCTTCTTGTTCCTTAAGCAACAAACTGCTGCCAGAGAGCCTCAGGGAGACAGCAGTTGTTCATGACTCATGGGGTGCAACTGGTGTGGAGAACATTGGCCCATTTTGCAGATGAGACAAAATGATCCTCAGGGAAGTCACTGAGGCTTGGGGTCCTGGCTGTGTGTGGTATGGAGACCTTGGCCTCACCCACTTCCCCCTCCAGTCCTCAGGACCCCTCTCACCCCAGCACACACACACAGAGACTGATGTGGCTTTAAGGATGTCTCCTTTAATCTCTGGTTGCTGCCACCTGGGGAGGGGGTGGGTCACCACCTGCTCCACTTGTGGATGGGGGGCGCCCGTCACTGCATCACTGCCGCCTCATGCACCAGGATTCTCCACTCTGTCCCCGGGTGTGCTGGGTCGCCGGCCTCTGGATTCACAGTGGGCGCTGGAGGGGCAGCTAGGGCGGGTCTCGAGAGGCAAGGTAGGCGGCCAGGGTCACCAGGGCGGCCGCGTATGTACACAGCCCCAGCCCGATGGCCAGGACCCCCAGCAGAAAGGCACGGCGGGAGGCAGACCCTGCCCCCTGGATGTCCCCCTGGGCCCAAGCCTTGTTGGTCTGTAGAGGCAGTGGGCAGTAGTGATCAGGGCATCCCCTCTCCCCATCCCAACCCTGCTTCCTGCAGCCTCTGCTCCGCCCAGCACACCATTCATTTTCATCAGCCCAAACAGGGCTATCACCTGTCATTAGGCTGGATGATGACTATGGTATGTGCCACTTTGCGTGTGTGTGTGTGTGTGTGTGTGTGTGTGCATGTGCGCGCGTGCATGTGCATGCACACCAGTCTGGGGCTTGAACTGTCCCTGAGCTTTTTTTGCTCAAAGCTTGTGCTCTACCACTTGAATCACAGCTCCATTTTCAGCCTTTTAAGTGGTTGGAGATAAGAATCTCACAGACTTTTCTTCTCGGCTGACGCTGAACAGTGATCCTCAGATCTCAGCTTCCTGAGTAGGTAGGATTACGGGCATGAGCCACCAGCGCCTAGCTGCCATTATTTTTTATTTTTATTTATTTATTTATTTATTTTTTTGTCGGTTGTAGGACTTGAACTCTGGGCCTGGGCGCTGTCCCTGAGCTCTTCAGCTCAAGAATACCACTCTACTACTTGAGCCACAGTGCCACTTCTGGCTTTTTCTGTTGATGTGGTGCTGAGGAATCAAACCCAGGGGCTCATGCATGCAAGGCAAGTGCTCTACCACTGAGCCACCTTCCCAGCCATGCCACTATTTTTTAATATGCCACCAGCCCAACTCACTTGGCTCTCAGTGACCTGAGGCGGGGGCTGTTCCCATTTTACACACAGGAAAAAGTCTCAAGGGTGGAAGACTTGGGTTTGGATTCAAGTGAGGATCTGGGTGGTACTGGTGTTTAAACTCTACTTCACACTAAGCAATCACTCTACTACTTGAGCTATGCCCAGCCCTTCATTTACTTTGATCTTTTTTTTTTTTTTTGCTGGTCCTAGGGCTTGAACTGAGGGCCTGGGCACTGTCCCTGAGCCTCTTCGTGCTCAAGGCTAGTGGCCTATCACTTAAGCCTGTTTTTGTGGAGCTGAGGAATCGAACCCAGAGCCTCATGCATGCAAGGCAAGTACTCTACCACTAAGCCACCTTCCCAGCCCCTAGTCTTTTTTTCTTCTAATTATTGGCCTTGAGCTTACTTTTTAGCTGGTACTCTACCATTGGAGCTATGCCCCCAACTCAACCTACGCTGGCTTTGAACTGAAAACCTCTGGATCTCAGTCTCCTGAATAGTTAGGATTATAGGTATGAGCCACTGGTGCCTGATTGCTTTAGTTATTTTTCATCTAAGGTCTCCCATCTTTTGTGCCTGGGTCTAGCCTTGGACTGTGATCCTCCTATCTATGTCTCCTGCATCACTAGAATTACAGATGTATACCAACATCTGTTTATTGGGATGGGTCCCGGCGGGGAGGTGATCCTCTCTGAACTTTTTGCCCGTATTGGCCTTAAACTAATTCTCCCAAGTAGCTAGGATTACAAGTGTGGCTTCTAAGTTCAGGCTTCTGATCCCCACTCAGGGTTCCATGAAATCGACCTCATTTTACCCCAGACGTATGTGGTGCAGTGTACCCATTGCCCTCCTAGTCCCACACATACTGACCTTCTGGGCAAGACAGAAGGCAGCGATGCCCACCGGCCAAAAACAGCACAGCACGGAAAAGACGGCCAGGCCAAGGTGGTCATGGGGCAGAAGCGGGGAGAGACGGCCGCCCTCATCGCAGTCGGAGTCACTGTCACTGGAGGACAAGTCCTGTGGACAGAGGAGGGCCTGGGTAGACATCTCTGGCCAACCACCTCTGCCCACTGCTCTCATCCCCATCATCCCCAACACCCAATGCTTCCTGGAAACCTCAAGAATGGTCAGAGAAGGCTTCTGACCCTGACATTCCAGATGCCAGAGCTTTTAAGTTCATTCTTTTTTTGTGTATAAGCTCATACTGGGGCTTGAACTCATAGTCTTGTATTCTTTTTTTTTTTTTGTCAGTTGTGGGGCCTGAACTCTGGACCTGGGTGCTGTCCCTCAGCTCTTCAGCTCAAGGCTAGCACTCTACCACTTGAGCCATAGCACCACTTCTGGCTTTTTCTGCTTATGTAGTGCTAAGGAATTGAACCCAGGGCCTCATGCATGCAAGGCAAGTGCTCTACCACTGAGCCACCTTCCCAGCCCTGGTCTTGTGTTCTTACTGGGATTTTTGCTCATAGCTGGCACTATACTATTTGAGCCATATCTCCACTTCGTGCTATTTTGCTGGTTCACTGGAGATAAATGACTCATGGACTTCCCTACCTGGGCTCGCTTCGAACCAAGATACATCGCAGCCTCTTATATAGCTAGGATTACAGGCATGACCCACATGTTTCTAGGTACATCAGTGTCATTTTAATTCATGAATTTTAGATTCTTTCTCTCACACTAAAAGACCTAAAATACAATATGTACAAAAAATAAAAAATGAGAAAGTGACATTAGCTTGGGAAAAAGAAAAGATAGTAAAAGGGGCTGGGAAGGTGGCTCAGTGGTAGAGCGCTTGCCTTGCATGCATGAGGCCCTGGGTTTGACTCCTCAGCACCACATAAGCAGAAAAAAAAGCCAGAAGTGGCGCTGTGGCTCAAGTGGTAAAGCGCTAGCCTTCAACTGAAGAGTTGAAGGACAGCGCCCAGGCCCAGAGTTCAGGCCCCACAATCGGCTAAATAAATGAATTAATTAATTTTTAAAAAAGACCAAGATGGGAGAAGGCTGGAGAGAACACCAACATAGCAACCAAGAATGATCAAAAGCCCACATGGTCAGTAAGAAGCCAGACCTCCATTACCTCCAACTGACAGCTTTGCAGATGGTAGCTGGGTCTGGGTCCCCTCTTCCCCTCCCTTGGCCATCCCCCAGGCCTGCTGGTCCTACCTCGAGTTCCAAGAGCCCTGGCTCTCCCAGGCCAGCACTCACAGACGGAAGAGGCGGTAAGAACAGCCATCCCTTCAGGGGTTCTGGAGAGGCTCTCTCTCCTAAGGGGAGCCCCAACTCCCGTGTGCCAGGCTTCTGGTCAGGGGGGCCATAAGCTGTGCCCCTCAGCAGAGGCTCTTGAAGCTCCTCAAGGCTAGAACTATCCATGGCTGGGAGGAGACTGTGACAGGGGGGTTCCTGGAGTACAGAGGGAAGACAAATACAGGTTGTCAAAGAACTTCATAACAGCCAAACACTGGTAGCTCACTCCTGTAGTCCCAGCTACTCAGGAGGCTGAGATTTGAGAATCAAAGTTTAGGACTGAGAAAGTGGCTCAGTGGTAGAGCGCTTGCCTTGCATGCATGAGGCCCTAGGTTCGATTCCTCAGCACCACATAAGCAAAAAGAAAAAAGCCGGAAGTGGCGTTGTGGCTCAAGTGGTAGAGTGCTAGCCTTGAGCTGAAGAACT